AGCTGTGGCCTCCCCAGTGCCCATTCCAGGGGGAAGAGAACTCCCCTGGTGTTAGAGAGCTTAGATCTTTTACAGATACCATCAGTTTGCCCATTGTTTTTATCTTGGTTGGGGTCTTTTTGGGGTGATGAAAGGAGATGTCTTCGTATGCCTCCCTGACCCCACCTAGGAAGAGAAATTCTAACGTGATACTTTTCTCGTTTAGAATGGTGGTGAGTGTCTGCGTGCGTACGTCTCGGTGGCGCTGGAGCAAATTGCACAATGGCACGATGAACAAGGCCACAATGGACTGTGGTACGTCATGCAGGTGGTGAGCCAGCTTCTAGATCCAAGGACCTCAGAATTCACTGCTGCCTTTGTGGGCAGGCTGGTCTCCACTTTAATTTCCAAGGCAGGAAGTGAGCTAGGAGAGAATCTGGACCAGATCCTGAGAGCTATCCTGAGCAAAATGCAACAGGCGGAGACGCTCAGTGTAATGCAGGTGAGCAGGCTGGGCACTCGGGAGAAGTGTCAGGAAAAGAAATTGTCATTTTTTTAAATTGTGTGCCTGATTACTTGTGGCTACTGCAATTGGAGGGTCTATGTAGCCTCTAGGAGTAGTCAGGAAAATGCCTACTCTGCTCATACAGAGTTGTCCAGATTATGGAGTGAGCCAGGTTCTTGTGAGTCAACTTTAATGCACCTTCAGTAGTCCCTCATGACCTTATCCTTGCAAGCAGTGAACCTTTAGAGGGGACAGGAGTTGCCAAAGTGAGAATGTCCTGGCAAAGGCAGCAGTTTTCAAGCAGTTTTGTGCTGTATTCGAAGGATAAATGCCTGGGAGTTGAGACAAGGTGAACTTTTGGTAGATGGAAGGTGTAGTTGGTTTGCACCAGGTGAGAGGCGAGACAAAGAGCATCACAACCTCTTCTAGCCTTGACCTGCTTCTGGTGGCACAGTTTTATGGAATGATGTTTATCCCAGTGGTCTTCATTCTCTCTCCTGTCTTGCTGTCTGTGCCCCTAATGTAAAACATCGAGTGATGGCTGCCCTGGTTCCTCAGCAGCAGCTGGGGGAAGGCGTTTTGCTGGCAATGTTGAGTTCTGCCTTCTGGCAGGATCCCACCTTTGCCCTCAGTGCAGCACTTGGCTGAGGCTCACTCTGCTCCAACCCTTTTATCTTGTGTATTTCTCTGATTTTTGTATGTGCATTTTTCAAGCCAGCACATGGTGAGTCAAGAAGGCCGTTCAGATGTCAGCACTGATTTAATCTTAGAGCCTTGATATTTTTTTCCCCCTTCAGATACACTGTTGCTTCTTAACTGTTCACAATGGCTCTCACTTTGCCTATTTTTTGGATTTAAAAGATCCAGAAGCTTGAATCTGGAGCAGTCACATGAAGCCCTTGCAGACAGGGGAAGAGAAACGAGCCTTTCACAGCGCTGAATCTTTTCCCTCTGTTAGCCTGAAAGATGAGCCTCTGGAATTGGGCAGCTTTTCCCTGAGGAAGCCTACAGAGATGCCCTCAGACTTGGAGACTGACATTTAGATGTACACAGCATATGAATTTTACCCCTGGTGTTTAGGGGTCAGACTGTAAAACTACATCATGTGAAAAAACAAACAACCAAACAACCTTGAACTTG